ACTTCCTCGGGCAAATTAAAGGTTATTTGCGCAATTTTTTTATTAAAAAGTAATGGAGTTGCGGGGAAGTGTTGATTTTGAAACTTGTACTTTGGAGTTTAGACTATATGCTTATTTAAGACGGGAGCTCGTTATTATGAAACGAAGTTCAAAGCTAGATCAAGATTATATTCAAGCCAAGTGTACAAAGTTTAAGTTATTGATTACTACACGACTATAAAAAACATCGCGGTTTTCAACCAAAATAATATTTTGTCCGATATGCTGGATCGCACGCCTTCATGCAGACTTCAAAATAAATCTTAATTCAATTTGGCTTCTACATTCTTACTGATACTGAAATTCAATTTCATTAGAGCTATGAAATCAATTACCTATTATGAAATTCAGTTATTGTTTGAGAATGATATGAGATATAAAAAAAAATGTAGAGTCGTTACTAGATCTATTATTATCGCAGCTCCAAGACATTTAAATCAAATAATGACTTTAATAATAACGTAGCCTGAGATACTATCAGGTAGCATTTCACGGCCAAACCATTTTTGAGTGATATTGTGAAATTGGACTCGCCCAATGATCGAATTTTTTCGGCGCACGCGCAGCGTAGGCGTTAGAGCCAAAGCACACGATGCATTGCGACGCCGCACCGCAAAGATTTCGCCGTAACGCGTGACGCAGCGGCCGCCGCACCGCTCGTGTGCCCGCCACTGATATTTCTATGTAAGACGACGCAAACGACACCGCCCCGGGGTCGCACCGCCGCCGCAACGCATCGTGTACTTTGGCTCTAAATTACGGGCAACAATACTTCTACCATTATGCGTATTACAAATAAGTACACATAATTGCACTCATTCATAAATGTTATTAGCAAACGTTGACAACCATTTCGCAATTTAAAAAGGCTAAGTATACTTTTGACGTTTGCTTTTAGTTAATGGATGGAGAAAAGTGTACCATGGATTGATTGATGGTGCAGTCCTTTATTGGATCATTACATATCCGCCCACGATTACGCCATGGATCAAAGCGACAGGTTCTTAATACTATAAGGTTAAGAACGATAGATTAGGTTAAGTATCTATAACTACCATGGAAAATTCCTGAACCAAAATTCATAAAGTTGTGATGTGTGGTGGAGCAGTAATGATAGTGTCACACTTTATACTCATACTGTCGTTAAACCACACGTCGTTTATTTAATTTGTTTGTCAGTATGTGTCAATAAAGTTATTATGATATAAGTATGTAATAAAAGGAAAAAAAAAACATCTGCACGCAATGAAGCGAATGACATGCTTAGTGCACGTCATCAGAGAAGACGATTGCAATTGACAAGAAACAATGAATGAAGTAAATAATTATGAATGAAAATTGTGTAAGAAAGCAATTAATGTTGACTTAGCCACTTTGTTACTAGCTTAGAATATGATTAAGTAGTAAAAACTAGGGAAATAAGAAAGAGTTACTTTCGTAGGTAAGTATACGCAAATTGTCTTTTGTTTAATAGCATGATCACTATTTCACCAATCAAATAACGAAGTCAAACGTTAACTATTCTAACAATATTAGAATAGACAAGTGTGTCAGTTCAATTAAACTATACATTACATGTTGACTAGACATGTTACGGTGTTCCTTTAACCGAAATAGGATATCCAAATATAGCCATGATATTTCGGAAATAGGAAATGTTTCAGACTGGCTTAGTTTTGACAGGTAACACGCCGTGTTAATTAATTTGAATTACGTCGCGTGTGTGATCATAATTTCTCAATATCTCTGATTTAATTTATAGTTTTCATATCTATGAAATGTTGATGCTTTAAATGACGGATATTCTCGGTGAAATAGACGTTAAACATTTCGTAGAGCATCAGTTTTAAAAAGAAGATATTACCTTATTAAAAATGATGCTGATTAAAAAATTTCAATCATAAATTCCTAGAATTTTCATCTGAAGGTGTATCACCTTTATTGATATGGCGAACGTAGTTGTTAATTTGTTTACATATTTGTTTTAGTAACACCTACGAGATAATATAATCGTGGTGATTAACTCACAGCCTTCTGATGTTAATTATTAACCGAATCAAGGTTTCGTTTGCCGTTGCAATATCAAGGAAATGCATTGAAAACGCGATGAGTATACACATGTAAATATACGGATGAGAGCACATCAAGCTGTACATTTTCATTGCAAAATGGTCCTTATCACAACTTGATAAGATTCCATAGTGATTAGCTTGATTTGCTATTATCTGTACAACGAATAAAAATTGGCCAAGATATAGAGCTCTTATGACTACGCGCGTAATATCCCTCATGAATCATGAGATTGGGCAAGGCAATTGATTCTAGATTCTTCCGTTAATTGGTGAATATATTAGGATTGTACTTAGTTCACCATCACGTTTCATTTGGGTGAAACAGTAAATCTGGGGCTTATTAGCTTTAACACGAACGGCAGTCTATCTGGCAATCGATGATTCATTTTAGTATATTAGATTTTAGATGTTTTCATGTTTTGAACAAGATTGCAAAATCTTACCCCTCACACAATACGTAAGGTGTCAATGTATTTACTTTGATGTGCCGACGTCTACATTATACGATAGGAGCATAGTATGACAGAAAAAATATACAAATCTTTATCTTAAACTAAATGATTTCACATAAACGGCTCTTGTCAATAAATAATATGTTAAAATCCTAGTTTACATATCCTACACGCTGCAGGAAGCAGGGCCAGCTGTCACGATATATCATAGTCATCAAGAATATGTAAAGCACCGCATGTATTAGAACACAAGCTCTACATGTGTTATTTACTTGATTGATGACTTTAAATCAACCAAAAAAGAGCTCTAAGGATACTAAAAAATCTTACAGTGTAATAGCAAATTCGTTTCAATTTTTAATAAGCACCAACATTTTTAATGTTAAGTAGCCCTTGCTTATAATACTAAGGTGAATTAAATTACCGTTGAGACAAACTGGTTTTGATAAGAAGAAATGACAAAGAAACCCAGTTTGTCGCCTAGGCTCTACAAGAATCACAAAAAATGTCTGACATGACTCTTGTATTCAACTCGTTGAAGGTTGTTAAGTAGTAACTGATTGGAAGCAGATATTTCGCGGCAAAAACATCTATTAGTTTAGTAGGTAGGCGTCTTTTCTTGGCAGTCAAACTGGTAACTGGTCTACTTTTTCATGTCACCAAGGAGAAAAAATAAGTATGTGTGCAGTACACGTCACTAGGGTTACTCGTATGAGGGATATGTGCTCCTAAAGTAAGCCTAAGAATAGTGTTGTATACCTGTATTGGCTCTAGGGTCCCTAGCCGCCGCAGAGTTCCTAGATTAGGAGCGCCAAAGCTGGTCGCGAAGAAGTTGTCGTAGTCATTGAACGACTAGATTGCGCCGTTTAAAATATTAAGTTATCTTTGCAGTTAAATGTAGGTTACGCACTCTGTTAGCTCAGCACAAGGGAGTTGGGACTACGTGCTCCTAAAACTAAGAATAGTGTTGTAATGTGTGTTGCTAACAATCGATCAACATGGACATCATTAGGGAGGCCTATGTTCAGCAGTGGACGCCCTAATGGCTAAAATGATGATGATGATAATGAGTACTGTAATACCTGTGTTGGCTCTGGGGTCCCTAGCTGCCGCAGCTGAGAGCCCCCCTAGGTTGGGAGCGCCAAAGCTGGTCACGAAGAAGTTGTGAATAACTACGTGTTCATATCACTAGGGATACAGAGAATTCTCCCTCCAATCTAAGCCCAAAATAGTACTGTAATACCTGTGTTGGCTCTGGGGTCCCTAGCTGCCGCAGCTGAGAGCCCCCCTAGGTTGGGAGCGCCAAAGCTGGTCGCGAGGAAGTTGTCGTAGTCGTTGAACGACCAGATTTCTAAACAGAACTATTCTCTTAGGTTGGGGAGTTGGGACTAACGGGTTCCTAAGCCTAAAAATAGTGCTGTAATACCTGTATTGGCTTTGGAGTCTCTAGCTGCCGCAGCTGAGAGCCCCCTTAGGTTGGGAGCGCCAAAGCTGGTCGCGAAGAAGTTGTGAATAGCTACGTGTTCATATCACTAGGGATACAGAGAATACTCCCTCCAATCTAAGCCCAAAAATAGTGCTGTAATACCTGTATTGGCTCTGGGGTCCCTAGCTGCCGCAGCTGAGAGCCCCCCTAGGTTGGGAGCGCCAAAGCTGGTCGCGAAGAAGTTGTGAATAGCTACGTGTTCAGTTCATATCACTAGGGATACAGAGAATATACTCCCTCCAATCCAAGCCCAAAAATAGTGCTGTAATACCTGTATTGGCTCTGGGGTCCCTAGCTGCCGCAGCTGAGAGCCCCCCTAGGTTGGGAGCGCCAAAGCTGGTCGCGAAGAAGATGTGAATAGCTACGTGTACAGTTCATATCACTAGGGATACAGAGAATACTCCCTCCAATCTAAGCTCAAGAATAGTGCTGTAATACCTGTATTGGCTCTGGGGTCCCTAGCTGCCGCAGCTGAGAGCCCCCCTAGGTTGGGAGCGCCAAAGCTGGTCGCGAAGAAGTTGTCGTAGTCGTTGAACGACCAGATTTCTAAACAGAACTATTCTCTTAGGTTGGGGAGTTGGGACTACGGGTTCCTAAGCCTAAAAATAGTGCTGTAATACCTGTATTGGCTCTGGAGTCCCTAGCTGCCGCAGCTGAGAGCCCCCCTAGGTTGGGAGCGCCAAAGCTGGTCGCGAAGAAGTTGTGAATAGCTACGTGTTCATATCACTAGGGATACAGAGAATACTCCCTCCAATCTAAGCCCAAAAATAGTGATGTAATACCTGTATTGGCTCTGGAGTCCCTATTAGCTGCCGCAGCCGAGCCCCCCTATATGTTGTGAGTGCCAAAGCTGATCGCGAAGAAGTTGTGAATAACTACGTGTTCGTTCATATCACTAGGGATACAGAGAATACTCCCTCCAATCTAAGACCAAAAATAGTGCTGTAATACCTGTATTGGCTCTGGGGTCCCTAGCTGCCGCAGCTGAGAGCCCCCCTAGGTTGGGAGCGCCAAAGCTGGTCGCGAAGAAGTTGTCGTATTCGTTTCCGTACCCGAACTGTGCGGTCGTGAGCACAACGCACACGCACAGCACTATCGCCTGTAACAAAAGAAAAGTTTGTGAGTAAAAATGGGTAAAAATTGGAAAGTAATTAAGGTGGAAATTTATAGTTCATGAAAATTTATTTCATGAACGATAAAAGTACTCGCAGATTTTGTAATCTTAGTAAAGAATTGGTGACAAATATAATATTTCTACTATTACTTATTACATCAAAATGTTCAATTAATACTTATTGGATCTAAAAAACTATTAGGTAGGTACTATAAAATGAGATAACTGTATTCTTTCTGCCAGCACCTATTGTCATACAACAGAAATCACTACTAAAGATTACTTTGCAATATATCTGGGGTAAGAGCAGTTTCAGGTACGAAAAACCTGTGCATATCATTTTCAAGAATCGATGCAAAGACATTGGTGTCTTTAGAGACAAACAAACAAACATTTTATCTTATTTAATAGTACTACCTATAAATAGAAGTAGATTTTCATGTAAACTTGTGACCTCCGCGGCCAGTCGTGTTCCGCTATAGGGCGCGACCGGCATAAATAGAATTTAAATATTCCAAGTAGCTGCGATACACGGCTAAAGATATGCCGTAAATACTATAAAAGCTACACTATAAGATAATCCTGGCATCTATGCTATTTAATCATTTTCTATCTACTTATGTAGGTAGTCGATGTATTTGAATCTAAGTAACGAAATAAAATTTCACTTCGCTTCCCGGTTTGTAATAAGAATACATAACAAGGCTTTAAATAATAAAACATTTAATGTTGTTTCTAAACTATAATAAAAACAAAACACTACTTGATTACATTCACCACATTTAAAATACACTTTTTATTATAATCAAGACCCAAACTGTTGTTTCTTTAATCAAAGAACAATTAGTTAGTATAAACTCATAAGTATATGTGTCCTAATCAATAAACATTCAGTTTTTATTAACAAAGTCTTAAGTCCGAGTATGAGGAGGAGGAAATCCGCAGAAAAACCAAAGTGACTGACATAGCTCGCAGAATTGCTAAAATCAAGTGGCAGTGGGCGGGGCACATAGCTCGTAGAGACGATGGCCGTTGGGGCAGAAAAGTTCACGAGTGGCGACCAGGGGCTGGAAGACGTAGCGTGGGCAGACCTCCTACTAGGTGGACCGACGATATGGTAAAGGTCGCGGAAAGAGCCTGGATGCGGGCAGCGCAGGACCGTGCATTGTGGAAAACCTTGGAGAAGGCCTTTGTCCAGCAGTAGACGTCATTTGGCTGAAACGAATGAACGAACGAAAGTCTTAAGTCTAAATTCCCTCCACAGCAGGGAACCAAACCCGGAACACCAACTAGGAAGGCACAGCCAGCTGACCAAACGGGTTTATGTTGAAAGCCGACGAATGTGGGCACAAAAGTCTCAGACCTTGACTGATTACAAAATAAAACCAATCATTATGTAGCAAATTATACAGCCATGTTAAAGTCTTGAGCAATTGACTAAGTGTCCTAATTATTTTTTTGATCGGAACTAAAAATGTAATTGTCTAAAATCTGAACGGAATATTAATTTGGCCTATTATTGTGACATAGAAACATAATTGGTGCTCTAGTTTTTATATGGAGAAGGTAACGTGGGCAGACATTTTTTTCCAAGTGACTGGCCAAATTGTCACATGTTCATAACATTAGAGACACTGGCAGTTTACAAAAAAAACTTTAAAGGCTTCGATGATTAAAAAGTTTTAAATATTCAAATGAAGAATGCACTTCCACCACCAACTTCAATTTTTGTCAAAAGAGTAACAATTTTAGTAGGTAGTGTACCTTTAAGTTCTATATCATTAATGTCAATCTTAAATGGCAAATTCGAATCGAACATCGAACTCAACATCGACCACCCATTACAAGAACCATACATTCCAGATTAGCTATTATACAATAGTAGAAACACCAATATCCATGTCAGGTCGTAATGCATAGTTATAATAATTCATCATGCAAACAAATTAGGCAATGCAAACATAATAACAACAAAGTCGCAACATACTCATTCCAGGATAACGGTATGCCAAAAATTTACTTCTAGACTTTTTGGAAATGTTAGGAAACAATGACATATCAGAAACTATTGTACCTACCCACTCATAAAAGTCATTCGTCTGAAACCTTGAATTCTTTCAGTAATTTAGACATAATTTACTTTCTAAAGTGATAAAAATTCACAACAATTGTAAACAAATAATAACGGTCATTATGGCTTACATGGCACAGAAACTTATTTACATAATCGTTTATTAATGAATCAATTCAATAACTGCATACCATCGCGTGTTTTGTTCACTTACTTTTCATTCAGAATCAATCGCATGTTATGCAATAATAGATCTAATCAATGAGTCTTACGAACGTACATGAACTAAAAACTTAATAGTGCCACAATAACAATAGGTAATTAATATTAGCTGTTATTTCAACAGACCTAGACGTGTTAGTTTTTTATCCAAAGCTAATGGACAATAAAATACAGATACGTTTTGCAACAAAAACAATCCATCGTTAAACGCAATGGCGGCAAAAAATCTGCCAGATGTTTTGCTACCTTTTCAAAATTGAAACTAGGAACAGGCAAAGGGCAAAAACCTTATACTGCCTAATAGACTGCAACCGCTCAAGTATCAAAATGATTTCTTTTTTTTTATATAACCATTATCAAGCAAAGGCATCAATCGCATACAGCCAGTAAATGACTTCTTTCTAATTTAGCGCCTTTAATTTTGTCCATCAATATTATTTAAATCGGTAGAATAAACCCCAAACTAACTAAAATTTTATACTTAACCTAATCAATTTAAATACGAGGATCTATAAAACGCATTCCGATAATTTATTTAAGAATCATATCATAGCATTATTTAAAGCTACAGACGCTACAAAACGCTACAAACTTTTAACTCCGCGTAGCAAGGGAAACTGCGGAAATGCAGCTTATGCCTGTATTACGTAACGTCGCACTGGAACTGGTTTTAGCGATACGTGTGAACTTGACGCGGCCTCAGCCGAGGTCCGCCGAAGGCAGGCCACATGTGTGACGTCACGTCACACTGACGTGTGACCACGTGCGCGCCGGGTCATGCGAAATTAAACTGGTATTCGCTGGGTGCGAAGTACTAGGTACTACATAATACATTTTAATATCATTCAATAATCGCATGAAAAGGGTCCTACTGGGAACTTAAATAAAAGAGTGGACTGTATTTCGATAGGGCTGGTTTAATAGCCGTTTACAATTTGGAAATAACTAGACTATACTACAACGTGGTAGTACAAAAATGAGTCACAGTCAATGATATTATATAAAAACAAAATTCTATAATATCATAGGTCACAGTAGTTGTTGTGCACAGATGTTTGCCTTATGATGAGAGCGTGAATTATTGAACTCTGCCCTTGTTTTGTTCTTAATTCTGCTACATCTCGGACTTGTCCAGCCAATACCATCAACTTTCCTTTAAATACGGTTTGTGGTTGGAATTTGATATTGTAACACTCACAAACCCGGTCTTCAAAACAATACTCATTTCGATCTGAAAACGATATTTAATTTATTACTAGCGATACAGGAACATTTAAATATATTTACTGTTATATGATAAAACCGTTAAAGTAGCTTTTTCTTTTCGTTTTACTGTAAAACTACAACTATAAATGAAGTAAACAAACCCTGACACAATCAAAATTAAACACACTTTTTGGACTTACCTCATTTGATTTGAATGACCAATATGATTTCAAAACCTTTTTTCCACCCAAATCGTGGTATCACAACAATTTATTAGTCGAAAATATTTGTAATTTTTTCATTTCGATATTTTTTCACAAATAGACGACCTAAATGTCAATGTGACAGAGCCCACAAAGTTGTGGACGCTAGTTGGCGCTGTAATCGTGCACAGAGCCAATACACCAAAGTCGGCGTGATTAGAGTCGCAAATTTTATGCCAGTTCATTAGCAATTATAAGAATAAGTAGTCAACTAACAATTACAGACTCATTAAGCGTACTTAGTTTTGTAAGGGTACGTTTTATTTAGTCTTTTAATTGGATACGTTCTAATAGCTGCCTAATAGTTTAAGTTAGTATTGAAAAGAGCTAAATCCATAGTTCTGACTTTTCGTTGGTTGAATACCTAACTTCTGACAGTTTAATATTAAATAAGTACCGTTTAACCTTAACTCCTGAATATTGTATCGGGTATAGGTAATCATTATTATTAATACTGACATAGCTTAGATCAAAGATTGGAACCGTCTCACCAAGGCTTAGAAGTTAGTCATGCGGTATTATGACTAAATTCCTTGGCAGCGTCAACAAACTGAGAAACTAGAATACTAATATTATGTAAACTATCTATTTTAGCATTAATTATCCAAATTAATATTATCATTAAATTGGCTATAAAATTCTATCCGGAACCGAAATTGAAAGGTAATATCCGAAAGCGGGTAATGCCGCAATAACCGACGTCGCCTTACAATTTACGAGGTGGCATTTTGAGTTGTAAAATGAGTGCAACTTAAGTTATGTTCGGAACGGGCCCGATCGAAATCGGACGTCTGCGCGAAGTTATAGAGACATGAGCCAGCTGTAATAACTCTCGAGTGTCCATAAAACCGACAATAGTGGTCCGAATCAAACTATCTACTCTTGACTATTTTGTTTGGTATTGTTATTGATTTTTGATGTAGTGGACCGAATGTAGAGTCAATATTGACAACAAAAACAATAAGGCTGGGTTGCACCATCTTACAAACGTCAAAAATCTGTCAAACTCCATACAAGAAGCACCGGTTATCGATATAGTTACGGTCAAAGTTAGGTGGTGGAACTCAACCTTAGTGTCCTTTCTTAATCACACACAAGAATAAACAGATAAATTATGATTTAAATACATTCTACACGGAGTTATAGAGACATGGTCCAGCTGTAATAACTCTGGTGTGTCGATAAAACCGATAACATTAGTCCGAATTTCTTAAGGCGGTTTT